CTTCCTCTTTTCATCCCAGCATCCAAATCCACGCTCACACAGCACTTGGAAACAGCCAGGGCTGGAACCCAGACCCAGTGATCTCTCCCTCCACCCTGCTGCTGCTTTGTGAGGACCCCACCCCATTTCCATGTCCCCTTTTCTCTTCCCTTCCTTCTGTGCCACTCTCCCTCCTCCTGCCCCAGGCCCTGGCAGTGATGGTTACAAGCTCAAGCTTCATTGTCTGCCATAATAATAGCTAATCCTGCTCTCTTTGGTTTCCATTTGCATTGAATATTTTTCCATCCTTTTCCCTTAGTCTAAGTGTGTTTTTAAAGCCAGAGTGAGTCTCTTGAAGGCAGCATATAGTCAGATCTTGGGTTTTATTTTGCTTTGTTTTTATTTTTTATCCATTCAGCCACTCTATCTTGTGATTAGAGAAGGTAATGTTTTTTAATCAAAGTAATTATTGATAGGAAAGGAATTATCCATTGCTTTTGTAGCTGTTATATATTTCTTTTTTTAAAAAATATATTTTATTGATTTTTTACAGAGAGGAAGGGAGAGGGATAGAGAGTTAGAAACATCAATGAGAGAGAAACATTGATCAGCTGCCTCCTGCACACTCCCCACTGGGGATGTGCCCGCAACCAAGGTACATGCCCTTGACCGGAATCGAACCTGGGACCCTTGAGTCCGCAGGCCAACGCTCTATCCACTGAGCCAAACCGGTTAGGGCTGTTATGTACTTCTTTTATTCTTTCTTCCTCTCTTGCTGTGTGATTTGATGAGTTTCTATAGGGGTATGCTATGATTCCTTTCTCTCTTGTTTGTGTATCTGCTAGAGGTTAGTCTTTGTGTGTGCCATGAGATGTACATTAACTATCTTATAATTATTACAATCTATTTCAAACTCATAACAACTTAATTTCAATCACATGTAAAAATTCTACCCTTTTACTCCCCCATTGTTGTCATAATTTACATCTTTTATATTGTGTATCAATTACCAAATTATTTTATTCTACATGAGTTGTGTGTGTGTGTGTGTATGTGTGTGTTTGCATGAATTCTTTTTTTCTTTTTTTATTAATTAAATCTTTATTGCTCAGATTATTACAGTTGTTCCTCTTTTTCCCCCCATAACTTCCCTCCACCCAGTTCCCACCCCTCCCTCTGCCCTCACTCCCCACCCACTGTCCTCATCCATAGGTGCACGATTGTGGTCCAGTCTCTTCCCGCATCCCCCTCACCTCTTTCCCCCCCAAGAATAGTCAGTCCACTCCCTTTCTATGCCCCTGATTCTATTATAATCACCAGTTCATTCTGTTCATCAGATTATTCACTTGATTTTCAGATTCACTTGTTAATAGATGTGTATTTGTTGTTCATAATTTGTATCGTTACCTTTTTCTTCTTCTTCCTCTTCTTAAAGGATACCTTTCAGCATTTCATATAATACTGGTTTGGTGGTGATGAACTCCTTTAGCTTTTTCTTATTTGTGAAACTCTTTATCTGACCTTCAATTCTGAATGATAGCTTTGCTGGATAAAGTACTCTTGGTTGTAGGTTCTTGGTATTCATCACTTTGAATATTTCTTGCCACTCCCTTCTGGCCTGCAAAGTTTCTGTTGAGAAATCAGCTGACAGTCGTATGGGTATTCCCTTGTAGGTAACTGAGTTTCTTTCTCTTGCTGCTTTTAAGATTCTCTCTTTGTCTTTTGCTCTTGGCATTTTAATTATGATGTGTCTTGGTGTGGTCCTCTTTGGATTCCTTTTGTTTGGGGTTCTCTGGGCTTCCTGGACCTGTAAGTCTATTTCTTTCACCAAGTAGGGGAAGTTTTCTGTCATTATTTCTTCAAATAGGTTTTCAATATCTTGCTCTCTCTCTTCTTCTGGCACCCCCATAATTCGGATGTTGGTATGCTTGAAGCTGTCCCAGAGGCTCCTTACGCTATCTTCATATTTTTGGATTCTTGTTTCTTTTTGCTTTTTGGTTGGGTGTTTTTTGCTTCTTCATATTTCAAATCGTTGACTTGATTCTTGCAATCCTCTAGTCTGCTGTTGGGATTCTGTATAATATTATTTATTTCAGTCAGTGTATGCTTAATTTCTAGTTGGTCCTTTATCACAACCTCGAGGGTCTCATTAGATTTCTTGTAGGTCTCATTAAGTTTATCAGCAGTTTCTAGAAAATTCTTGAAAAACCTTCAAAGTATGGTTTTGAACTCTATATCCAGTCGTTTGCTTTACTCCATTTCTGTCATTTGTGTCCTTTTTCTTTGTCTCCACATTTTTTATTCTTCCCTGTGTTGATAGAGTGGCTTTCTGTGCTAAGTGTCCTATAGGGCCCAGTGGTTCAGCCTTCCCAATTACCTGAGGTGGACACTCTTGGTGCACCCCTTTGTGGGCTTTGTGCACAGTCTTGTTGTAGTTAAGCCTTGATTGTTGTAGTTATCACTGGGAGGAATTGACCTCCAGGCCAATTGGCTGTGAGAATCAGCTGTGTCTGCAGTGGGAGAACTTCTGTGCTGGAGACACCCCTCTGGGGCAAGACTTGCTTCAATGGGGCTTTGGTGTTCACTGAGTCTGCCCCCTGAGTGTGTCCTTTATGTTTCCAGGGAGCTGCAAACTGGATGGTCCCACTCTGACCTCTGGGTATACTGCCTCCTGGATCTCTAGGGAGGTGCTAATTTAGCCTCTGCCTGAGGCTATCCAGCAAAAGCCTACCTGCAGGGCTTGGGTGGGGCGGGTCCCATGAGATCAACAGGGCGGGGCTAGCAGTTATGGCTGCTCTCAGAGGCTCCGCTTCTCAGTGTCCCGGCAATCGCTGCAAGCCCCTCCAAGAGAAAGCTGCCCTCAAGTTCCGACCGATGCCAGACAGTCCCGCTTCTCCCGTATGAGTCTGGGTCCCGGAGACTCGCCCAGAACTGGAGTTCAGAGCCTGAGGCTCCCTCCCGATTGAAAACGAAAACCGCACCCTCAGCTGCCAGCCCACTCCGTATGTGCCTCCGCACCTTAGTATTTTACTTCCGCACTACACCTCCTCTGAGTCTCGGTATGCTTTTCTCTTTCCTTCTAGTTGTGGAATTTCCACTCAGCCAGCCTTCCTGTGGTTCTGGATGATGTCCGTTCCATCTTTTAATTGTATTTTTGAAGTGGTTGTTCGAGGCAGCAAACTCCGGTGTTTACCTATGCCTCCATCTTGGTTTCCCCAATAAATTATTCTTGACTATTTTTCTTTCAGCACTTTGAATATATCATGTAGTGCCTCCTGAACTGTGAAGTTTCTCTGAAAACTTGCTCATAGTTTTGTGGGAGTCCCCTTGATCAGTCATCCGCTTACATATTCTCTTTGTCTTTCATTTTTGACAATTTTATTACAGTGTGATAAGTGATGTCCTTTTACAGTTAAATCTGTATTGGAACCTATGAGTTTCATGTACCTGGATGTACATACTTCTTTTCAGATCTTGAATTTTATATAATTTTCATGTCATGAAATAGTCTTCTTCTTTGAATTTTTCAAACATTCTTAGGACACAGGTTGGTCATCAAGATTTGGCCATAGTTTGCCAACGCTTGGTCCAAAGCATAATATTAAAATGTAACTTGTTAGAATTATTGGTGGTAGGGGAGAATTTTAAAAGTTTTACTAAATCAAGAGGATTTAGATATGTGGAATGCAAGCAGATCCATTAAAACCAGGATATTTTGGAGAACATCGCACCAAAAGACCTAAGCCCTCTCATGGCACCTCAGGCAATCACTGGATTGACAGTGGAGTGGGCCATAGCCATGACACAGAGTGGCCATACGGAAGATCTTCACTTTGCTAGAAATGTTTTCACAAGAGACAGTAAGAGTGGATCTTTAGATCATTATTCCAGAGGTGGAGTGGGCACCTGACATCCTATTCTCACCAAGCAAAGGGTGAAAATTGTCCCCACGTGCTCTGGAAGTCCAGCAGGTTTCCCAAAATGAACTGGGCTTCAGGATCCCAGGTGGGTCACTTGTATCATCACAAACGTTCACTTAAGAAGAAAGTAGGAGTCACTCAAAATATTCTGAAGGGGAGAGGATGTAACAGTAATTTGACTTGGAACCTGACTAAGATATGAGCTTGAGTTCCTTCCCAAGGGCACAGTCCCTGACATGTACTCAGGTCCTCACATTTCACAAACCACTTCCTCCTCTGTCCAGGTGGTTTTCCCCAGAAGCCGACCCTGACACTAAATTAGAGAGCAGGTGGCTTATTCAGGAACTGGTTCCCTGGAAGCACCATTAGGAGAGAGAAGTGGGAAGGGAAGGGAGAAATCAATGACACCTGCATTGTAGAGCAACTGAGGTTCGATGTACTAGGGATCTCCAGGAGACAGTGGAGAACACACATCAGAGATGTCTCTGCTGGGGGACAGGTAGCTGCCTCTGTTAGGGGTTAAGCACTCATCCTGGAGCTTTAATTCCCTGGGGCTTCTGGCCTGTCATGCTCATTGCCTTGGGGAGAACCCTCAGACAGATTACCTGAGGTGATTGTAGAAGATTATCCTTGGCATGTACTTCAGTGGTGGGTGCAAAGAGAGTTCTGTCAGGAATCAATAGTCTCTGTTTCACCATCCATTATCTCCTTCACTCGACCATGACCACTTACAATTTATTAATAAAAAATTATAAGCTCAGTGGGGCTAATAGCTCAGGTCATGGAATTAATGAGAGCAAACAGGTGTGTCTGTTTGTTCACTCTTTATCCCAAGCCTCTAAATCAGTGTCTGGCAGTGTTAGCCATTGATTAATATTTGCAGAAGGAAGAAACATCACACTATGAGAATGATTTGCTCAAGTCAAAACTTAAGCAGGGATCTTCTCCCCAAAAACCCATATTTCCTCCACGATCTGAAAAGAATGTACCAGTATCAGCAGCCAGCACAGTGTGTAGCTTTAAGTGAGTTCAAAAAATATGTGGAATGAATAAATGAAGAAACAATTAAACAAATGTTCCATCTTTCTCTCCTTTCTGTAGGAATCAAAGAAAAATACCAAAACCAAAGAAGAGAGAGTTCCTGCCCCACACAGTCATGGAGAAATGAGTATTTGCACCAAAAAATCACACAACTGCTATTTCTACACAGATATCAACCCAGAGGCTATGACTTCCTACTCAGGAGAAGGAATCATGAGGTGGTAGATGAACAAGAAAATTGGATGGAGATTGGAGACTTAATTGGCCCAGGCCTGAGTACCCAGGAAGAGCCTCCCACTGTCGTGGTGCATGGAGTTGCTGGAATCGGGAAGTCAACCCTGGCCAGGCAGGTGAGGAGAGCCTGGGAGGAAGGCTGGCTGTTCAAGGACCGCTTCAAGCATGTCTTTTACTTCAACTGCAGAGAGCTGGCCCAGTCTGAGACCATGAGTCTCGCTGAGCTCATCACAAAAGACTGGGCAGCTCCTGATGCTCCCATTGGGCAGATCCTGTCTCAGCCAGAGCAGCTGCTCTTCATTCTTGATAACTTAGATGAACCAAAATGGGACTTGAAGGGGAAGAGTTCTGAGCTCTGTCCACACTGGAGCCAGCAGCAGCAGGTGCACACACTGCTGGGCAGTTTGCTGAAGAAAACCTTACTTCCCACGGCTTCCCTGCTGATCACAGCTCGGATCACAGCTCTGAGAAAACTCATTCCTTCTTTAAAGCATCCTCGCTGGGTAGAGGTCCTGGGATTCTCTGAGTCGGCCAGAAAGGAGTATTTCTTTCAATATTTCACAGATGAGAGCCAAGCGATTAGAGCCTTTACCTCGGTTGAATCCAACCCGGCTCTCTTCACCATGTGTCTCATGCCCTTGGTGTCCTGGCTGGTCTGCACTTGCCTGAAGCAGCAGATGGAGCAGGAGCAACCACTCTCACTGACCTCTCAGACGACCACAGCCCTCTGTCTCCACTACTTTTTCCATGTTCTCCAGGCTCAGTCCCTCGGGACTAAGCTGAGGGGCTTCTGCTCTCTGGCTGTTGAAGGCACCTGTCAAGGAAAGACTCTGTTCAGCCCCGAGGACTTCAGGGAACACGGGTTAGATGGGGCCAACATCTCCACTCTCTTAAACATGGGTGTTCTTCAAGAGCACCCCACCCCTCAGAGCTACAGCTTCATTCACCTGTGCTTCCAGGAGTTCTTTGCAGCAATGTCATATGCTTTAGGTGATGGAGTGTTGAAAGGTGATTGCTTTAATAACATCATAATTACAATAGACTTGACAGGTGTATATGACAGGCATGACCTATTTGGGGAACCAACCACATGTTTCCTTTTTGGCCTTTTGAGTGATCAGGGGATGAGAGAGATGGAGAGCATCTTCAAATGCAGCCTGTCTCGGAAGAGGCTTCCCTCTCTGCTGCACTTGGCCAAGAGGGAGGTCCTTTTGAAGCGTCTGAACCTAGACCCATATTCTTGGCATTTGCTGCACTGTTTTTATGAGATTCAGGATGAAGACTTTATGAAAAATATTTTCATTCCCTTTACATTGAGGATATGTGTCCAAACTGACATGGAGCTCCTGCTGTTCACTTTCTTCTTTACATTCTGCCACCGCATTGAAAGGCTTCAACTGAATGAGAGTGGACAGCACAGACAAGCAGGAAGGACTTCCGGTGCATTTCTGTAAGTGCTCCCCCTCTCTCCTCTCTCCAGCTCCTCTGTTGGTATCACTGTCCTGGCCACTGGGGGGCACTCTCACTGAGCCTGGCCCCAGGGTCTAGATGTGATCAGTGACTTCTAACAACAAAATCTGACCCCCATTCTCAGTCCACCTAGGATCCACCGCAGCAATATATGACCATGTGACCTTCCCTCTCTGCTTCTGGGTGGCCTGCTGTGGCCCTGCCTTGTGCTGCTGCTTCTCTTCCTGTCTCTGTCACAATGGCTACCTTCTCTCCTGGGTGCACTTCCACCCCCATGCTGATGTCAGCTGCCCTCCACCTAGCCCACCTGCCTCTGATTCTCCCTCACACATGCTTCCTTCATGCAACAGCTCACTCAGCTGCTTCAGGCAACCCCTTGATGGCTGTTGACTATGACATTGGTCCTAAGTTCTCCCCTGTCACCTCAGAATGTGTCTATCTGAAAAGGAGTCTTTCTTTTTCTCTACAAAACCAACTTCCCTGTTTGTTTCAATGATGCACTATTGCCCCAGGCACTCCGCTGAAACCCACCATCTGAGTATGACAGAGTAGATTGCTCAAATTACCCTCCAGCACCAGCAACACTGTTATCTTCCACATCCGGGTTCCCCACCTCAGTGGCAGCTTTGATCCTTTAGTTCTTTGAGGTGCCTATCTCCCCTTTAAATGATTCACTCCATAAATGTGTATTAAGAAGTGATTTTACACCAGCTCCTAAAGATCACAGATTAGTAAAGCACAGCCCTGTCCACTACAAACTCAAATCTGGAAGAGCAAACATATATCCATTCAATAACTAGAAGAGTGTGCAAAGTCCATGGTAAGAGAGGCATGGACAAGCTGAAATCATAGTTTAAGAAGGGAGGATCACACGAGTGAACTTGATTAATACAGAGTCTCAGATAAAGAAATGGTAGACTTGGGTATTTTATTTTCAGGCTAGAGGCCCAGTGTATGAATTTGTGCACAGGTGGGGTCCCTTGGCCTGGCCTGTGGGGAACAGGCCGAAACTCGCTCTCTGACATCCCCCGAGGGGTCCTGGATTTCGAGAGGGTGGTTCTCGGGTGACATATCCCAGAATCGGGCTCCCTCTTCTCTGGTTTCCAGTTTGTCACCCGAGAACCACAGCTGCTAAGTCAATGCAGCTCGGCTGCTCCTTCATTGAGCATCTGCCCCCTGGTGGTCAGTGTGCATCATAGCTACTGGTTGGAGCATCTGCCCTCTGGTGGTCATTGCACATCATAGCTACTGGTAGGACAGTCAAGTGGTCTCATGGTCGCTTAGGCACATGGTTGGCAAACTGCGGCTCGCGAGCCACTGCAGCTCTTTGGCCCCTTCAGTGTGTCTCTTCCTAAGCCTTAGGAGTACCCTAATTAAGTTAATAACAATGTACCTACCTATATAGTTTAATTTTAAAAAATTTGGTTCTCAAAAGAAATTTCAATCGTTGTACTGTTGATATTTGCCTCTGTTGACTAATGAGTTTGCCGACCACTGGCTTAGGCCTTTATATATATAGATTTACAATGTTGTTGTTTTCTAATATAAAACTAATGTTCTGCCAAAACTGGTTTGGCTCAGTGGATAGAGCGTCGGCCTGCGGACTGAAAGGTCCCAGGTTCGATTCCGGTCAAGGGCATGTACCTGGGTTGCGGGCACATCCCCGGTAGGAGATGTGCAGGAGGCAGCTGATCGATGCTTCTCTCTCATCGATGTTTCTAACTCTCTATCTCTCTCCCTTCCTCTCTGTAAAAAATCAATAAAATATATTTTAAAAAAAATAAAAAAAAGTAAAACTAATGTTCATTGTAGAAAAATGAGGACATGTAAATAAGCAAAATTAATGTCAAACCAATATCTACCATTCACAGGTGACCATCATTATAAACTGATGTATATATTCTCGAGTCTTATTTTTATGCACATTTTAGAGCAAAACTGAGCCATACTGTACATTTTATTTCACAGTCAGCTTTATGTGCGCTTTATTTTTTACTTGAAATATATTTATTTTATTATTTTATTTTATTTATTAAATCTTTATTGTTCAGATTATTACATTTGTTCCTCTTTTTTCCCCCCATAACTTCCCTCCACCCAGTTCCCACCCCACCCTCTGCCCTCACTCCCCACCCAATGTCCTCATCCATAGGTGCACAATTTTTGTCCAGTCTCTTCCCGCATCCCCCATACCCCTTCCCCCCCCCCCCCCCCAAAAAACAATCTATTCCCTTTCTATGCCCCTGATTCTATTATAATCACTAGTTCATTCTGTTCATCAGATTATTTATTCACTTGATTTTTAGATTCACTTGTTGATAGATGTGTATTTGTTGTTCATAATTTGTATCTTTACCTTTTTCTTCTTCTTCCTCTTCTTAAAGGATACCTTTCAGCATTTCATATAATACTGGTTTGGTGGTGATGAACTCCTTTAGCTTTTCCTTATCTGTGAAGCTCTTTATCTGACCTTCAATTCTGAATGATAGCTTTGCTGGATAAAGTAATCTTGGTTGTAGGTTCTTGCTATTCATCACTTTGAATATTTCTTTCCACTCCCTTCTGGCCTGCTTAGTTTCTGTTGAGAAATCAGCTGACAGTCGTATGGGTACTCCCTTGTAGGTAATTGAGTCTCTTTCTCTTGCTGCTTTTAAGATTCTCTCTTTGTCTTTTGCTCTTGGCATTTTAATTATGATGTGTCTTGGTGTGGTCCTCTTTGGATTCCTTTTGTTTGGGGTTCTCTGCACTTCCTGGACTTGTAAGTCTATTTCTCTCGCCAGGAAGGGGAAGTTTTCTGTCATTATTTCTTCAAAAAGGTTTTCAATATCTTGCTCTCTCTCTTCTTCTGACACCCCTATAATTCGGATGTTGGTACGCTTGTAGCTGTCCCAGAGGCTCCTTACACTATCTTCATATTTTTGGATTCTTTTATCATTTTGCTTTTCCAGTTGGGTGTTATTTGCTTCTTTGTATTTCAAATCTTTGACTTGATTCTTGCGATCCTGTAGTCTGCTGTTGGAACTCTGTATAATATTCTTTACTTCAGTCAGTGTATGCTTAATTTCTAGTTGGTTCTTTTTCATAACCTCGAGGGTCTCACTAGATTTCTTGAGGGTCTCACTTAATTTATCGGTGGTTTCTTGCGACCCTCTAGTCTGCTGTTGGGAGTCTGTATAATATCCTCTGTTTCAGTCAGTGTATGCTTAATTTCCAGTTGGTCCTTTATCACAACATCGAAGGTCTGACAATATTTCTCAAGGATCTCACTACATTTATCGGCGGTCTCATGAGTCTTTTCAAGGGTCTTACTAAATTTATTGGTGGCTTCTAGAAAGTTCTTGAAAAACCTTAAAAGTGTGGTTTTGAACTCTATATCCAGTAGTTTGCTTTCCTCCATTTCTGTCATTTGTGTCCTGTTTCTTTGTGTCAGCATTTTTTTATGCTTCTCTGTGTTGATACAGTGGTTTTCTGTGCTCAGTGTCCTCTAGGGCCCAGTGGTTCAGCCTCCCCAATTACCTGAGGAGGACACTCTTGGTGCTACCCCTTGTGGTCTTTGTGCACAGTCTTATTGTAGTTAAGCCTTGATTGTTGTAGGTATCACTGGCAGGAATTGACCTCCAGGCCAGTTGGCTGTGAGAATCAGCTGTGTCCACAGTGGGAGAAGTTCTTGCTTCAGTGGGGCTTTCGTGCTCACTGAGTCTGCCCCCTGAGTGTGTCCTTTATTGATCCGAGGAGCTGCAAACTGCATGGTCCCACTCTGACCACCGGGCACACGGGCTCCTGGATCTCTAGGGAGCTGCTAATCTAGCCTCTGCCTGAGGCTACCCAGCAAAAGCCTCCGTGCAGGGCTTGGGCACGGCAGGTCTCACGGAATCAACAGGGCAGGGATAGCAGTTATGGCTGCTCTCAGTCCTGCCCTCAGAGGCTCCGCTTCTCAGTGTCCCGGTAATCGCTGCAAGCACCTCCGAGAGAAAGGTGCCCTCAAGTTCCGACCAATGCCAGACAGTCCCGCTTCTCCTGTATGAGTCTGGGTCCCCAAAGTCTTGCCCGGTACTGGAGCTCAGAGCCTGAGACTCCCTCCCGATTGAAAAAGACAACCACGCCCTCAGCTGCCGGCCTGCTCCACGTGCGCCTCTGTACCTTAGTATTTTACTTCCGCACCGCTCCTCTTCTGAGTCTCGGTAAGCTTTTTTCTTTCCTTCTAGTTATAGAATTTCCACTCAGCCAGCCTTCCTGTGGTTCTGGATGATGTCCATTCCATCTTTTAGTTGTATTTTTGAAGTGGTTGTGCGAGGCAGCAAACTCTGGTGTTTACCTATGCTGCCATCTTGGTTTCTCCTCATCTTCTCTGAAATATATTTTTATTGATTTCAGAGCGGAAGAGAGAAGAGAGAAAGAAACATCAGTTATGAGAGAGAATCATTTTTGGCTGCCTCCTGCATGCCCACTACTGGGGATCAAGCCTGCAACCTGGCTATGTGCCCTTGACCAGAATTGAACCCAGGCCCTTCAGTCCGCAGGATGCTGCTCTAGGGCCCTTTATTTTTATATTAAGACTTTCTTCTTATATTTTGAAGTAGCCTAATATAACAGTGAAAGGTTCCGAGTTGTGCCAAGGTTGCACAAAACTGACTCAAGGCTTAATGTAGTCAAAATGACATTTATTTAAGGTGTCTGGGTGCAGATGGGCTGAGTTTGAGAAATAAGTCATCCCCAAATGGGGGAGGAAGAAGGTTTTTTAGGTGCTTAATGAGAGCTGCAGGTGGCTTCTGCTGATGCATGTGTATGGGCTGTGATGCAAGCAGCTTCTGGTAATGCATGTATCTGGGCTGTGCAAGAGTTGTGGTCTCAGAGGTTCCTGTAAGATATTCGCTCAAGGGGAACATTTGCAAAGCTTAGGCTTGTAGAACAAACTTAGTTTCTGCTAAGTGAGAGCCCTATTTCTTGATTAACCCTTTCATTTCCATCTTAAAGGGTATA